TCATTACCTTCACCGTCATTATGGTTGGCAACTTCATCTATTGCAATATCATATACACTTCCATCTATTACTCTCAATCCTTCTCCATTACCTCCTTGACCTCTACCCTCTCTTAAATCACGATCACGATCACCGTCACCCCCTCCTCCTCCTCCACCTCCTCCTCCACCATCTTCTTCATCACCTCTTCCCTCTTCATTAGGATGAGGTGCCCATTGTCCATTTATTCTTCCATGCCTCACTGTGAATTTGAATAAAACATTACTGCATTGCGTTAATAAAATTAATTACCTCCTAGTAGAATGGCTGCAATTATAACAACAATCAATATTATTGCACCAATAAGAACAATGACGATGAATCCAACTACAATAAGATGAAGAATAGAATTAATAAGCAATAAAAATATATGTCATAATCATAATTGGGGTGAGTGACACTCTATGTTTGTACAGTGTACATGTACATGTAAGTCAACTATTAATTTTTGAAATTTTTATTAGAAATTTGTAAAATCTGCTCAAAGCATACACATATGCACACAACATAAGAATGTTAATATTATTATCATTGCTTTGTTAACTTACCAGGCACATTCTTCTTAGGTTTATTAGTTGGTGTATCATCACTTGGATCATGGCTCATCGTACAAGTTACAGAGAAGTTCATTGCAGTATGATTACTATCAAATGACCTTCCATCACTCAGTAATGGATACACAAATACATTAAAGGTCCCATTAGGTAAGCGAGTACTGCTATTAGCTATAGCATAATGGTGCAAAGAATCCCTTAGGATAGGTTGCTTGAAGAACACTGTCCCATTGAGATATAGCACCTGTACCATAACACCAGTAACTCCATTTAAGAGAGTAGCATTAATGGAGTAGTATCCATTATGTGTCACTCTAGGCCATATCCTGATATTGGATATACGGCTAGTATCTACACAAGGAAATGAATTGATATTCATAATACACCTACTCATCAGCAGATAAACACACACTACACACATTATATGCAATCCATGCACATGTGTGTCACATGATTGTACAAATAAGGAATGGCATTTACCATAGGGCAATAACATAACCACACAAACAGGCCAATTGTCACATTCATTATCTGAGTATGGCATCACATGACACTAGTGGCTATGACACACATACAGAGTTCACTAGGTCAATCAGTGATGATCGACCTTTTATCATAATATATTACATGAAAGGAGTGTGTACATACACATATGCTTACCAACTATTACTTCCTTCTTTGTTGTCTTCAATTCAATAACAATAACACACTGTTGTTGATCCATCAACAAATCAAGAAGAAAAGAAAAAGACTTGTTTAAGTATAAAACCGTATGTCCACCTTCCAAACAGCTGGATTCCACATTCAAGTAGTCCAGATATAACAGGGAACAGCTTTTATTGACCTTAATTTTGATAAAATATAAATCATAAGTTACAGTATACAACGTACTGTAATTATATAAAATAAAACTTTAACCGTATCATTTACATATTTAACCGCAGTACTTTCTATGTTGAAATCAGCTGTCACTGTGGATTTAAAATGGTTAAACTATTGTCATTGTAATTTTTATAAAACTTACTATTGACATCAAAATTGAGATCATATGTCAAAGGATTGCTATCCCCTGCCTTGTTAGTGGCAACAGTAGTGAGTTGATACTCATTCCTTGGGTTAAACAGGGAGCCATTGATGGAGTGAGGTAGAGTCAGACCATCCTCTTTATAGATTGTGACGTTTGAGGAGTTCTTTACTTCAACTGTAAGTGTCGCATCTTTATCAATATTACCTGTGATCACAACTTCACTACACATAACCTTTATCAATATATCATTGTTTGTGATATTAGGACGACCTAAAATATAGAATAAAAACTTAATATCTTAGTTGTCTAAAGCATTAAATTTAATTAGTGCATTGTAATGAAAACAAAAACAATAATCATACCTTTGACATAAAAGTAAGCAGGAACAAAGCATTCATAGTGGTCTGTACAAAATATGCATACATCTATCCTGGTTCCATTTACTGAATGTTCCACTCCATTGATAGTGTAAATGAGATGTTCTCGCCCGTCAGTACCATGATATATTATCAGATTGGTACAAGGGCTAGATAGCTTATAGTCATTAACGAATATTATTGGACCAGTACAACCATCAGGCAAAGGAACAGTGGCATTAGCTGATATGTTACCCCCAACATAGCCGGTTGTTGTCTTTGGGCCAATGGTGTTTGCACTTTCTAGCAGCCGCCGAGTTAAAATGAAATCCGATAACTTTTCTGTCAAATTGATACGGCAGTTGGTACTGGATCTACCTGACAGCAGAGTGGAGAAGACTAATACCAAAGATAGGAGGGCCGACAGAAAAGACATGTTTGAAATCCTTCATCATACATAGCCTCCAGGAGAGACTCCTCTTTTATAAGCGAACCGACGTTTTCAATTGAATCAATTCACTTTCCGTACCCACAGTTTCCACACCTACACGTACCTGTATTTTAATT